GGCGCACACCTCACGCACACACACGCAGAGGCACCCCCAATCCCACACGACGGCAAATCACCGCCATATTTACTTTACACTCCGCTGAAGGCAGAGCATCCACACTGCTCGAAGGCAGGCCACTCTGTCCATTACTCCCTTTCCAGCGCCACCCATGAACCTTCACCCAAAACATCGTGCGGCATAGGCGGGAAGCATCACGATGCCTGCGGAGGGTCACCGCCAAACAAAGACGCGGCCCCACCACGTGCCCATGACGACGTTTCGTCCTCATCGCAGAAAAAAGGGTGTGTGCGTATGTGTGACGGCGTGTGGGGCAGCAAAGTGACAGCAGCGGCATCCGTCACTCGCCAAAAGAACAGAAAAAAAAAAGAAGGACGAGGGGCGTGTCAGCTTCCAGCTTCAAGGCACAGGTGGAGCCGTGGCAAAAAGTTTCACCTCTTGAGTGTGTGCTCGTCCCGTGCAACTCGGCATCATCGCAGTGACCGCCGCCAGCGTCAAGTGGGAGACACGCCCTTCCACCACCGCGGCGCCACAGCAGACGCTGACGTGCGCAGTCGCACAATTAACTGGCCGTCGCGACAACCACGCGGCAGCTGCGCATTTATTTATTTTTTTCCGTTCTCTTTTGAATTCCTGAATCCCAGCCAGCAGCGTGCGTCGCGCAGTCCGACGCCCATCGCAGACGCATCTTTCCGCGCTCGTTTTAAGCGCCCAAAAATTTCCAGTGTTGCGCCGCCCAAGATTCTCCCAGTGCTGGCCGCCTCGCCCTCTCTGAGGAGTGGTCTACAGCGCGTTCACCGAAGGGCCACGCAGCGGTCACCAAAAAAGGTTGCGAAAATAAAACACGCGCACGCCTCGCATGAGCAGCCCCAGTGGAAGTGTTCCCTGGCACCCCAAGAGCAGAACACGGCCTCTTATTGTGGGGTCTGGCTGGGGAGGAAACGAGGCGGCAGGGGATGATGCGTTGGGTGGCCCCACCAAAAATGCGGGCCGCCACTCCTCCTCCTCCCACCCACACAGACGGACAGTCAGACGGCACTGCCAGCAGCTGTGGGTTATTAAAAGCCAAAAGGAGGGCACAACATGCGAAGGCGCACACCCCGAAGCATCGGCCGTCCTCCACTCCCACTCCCACGAAACAGGAGTAGCCCCCAACAGAACCGTTTCCCACTGAGGCGCAGCATCCAGTCAAGCAAGAAAGCAGCAAGAACGAACAGGTGAGGGAACAGTCGATGCCTTCAGCCTCTCCCACAGGCGTGAAAAAAAAAAAAAATCCCCTCAACACAAGACTATCAACCACGCGCCCCGAACCCAATGCAGCAACAGACGGTTAAACGCCCCCGTTTTCTCCATGGCGTGTGAGTAACGGTGAAAAGGTGGAGGCGCGGCCGGCATCTTGTGGCGCCCCTCAAAAAAAAAAAAAAANAAAAAAATCTTTTACCCGG